TTCTTGAATGAGAAAAAAAATCTTTGGCAAAAAGAATATTGAAAAGTTCCCATTCTTTGATTTGTTCAACCTTTGTAAGAATGACAGAGGTGCTCCACTCCTCATCTTCCTCTTCTTCCCCTTCAATATCCACACCGACCCACAATGCCACGTTGTTTCGTCAGACTCAGTCATATGCGGGTGAAGAGGGGCTTTCTGATGTGACGGGCGGTGACATTGAAGAGGAGGAGGAGGAAGAAAATAGCGTGAAGGAGAAGAGAGAGAAAGACAGAAGGGATCAACTTTCTCTTTTGGCACTTTTGGTGACTCTCTTTCGAAAGAGTTTTTGGTTGGCTTGCAAGACGGATAGAGAAGAATTTTCTCGTGGCGGCAGTGGCGTCGGCAGTGCCAATTGTGGTTGTGGTGTTATGGAAATTGGATGGCCCACTGATGTGCAGCATGTTAATCATGTTACCTTTGATCGATTTGATGGGTTTTTGGGATTGCCCGTGGAGTTTGAGCCTGAAGTACTCCGGAGTGCCCCTAGTGCAAGGTGCATTCTTCTTTCTTGAATTCTATAATTGGGGTTTATAAAACTCGTGTATGTGAGACTGGAATCATGACAAGTTTTCCCTAGCTTGGTTATGGAAATCTCTATGATATTATTGAATCTTGGTTCTTGATTCCTAGCTTATATATAATCTTGCTGATATATTCTAATTTGACTTGGTGGAAGATCTGTTTTATTGTGATTCTGGTGTTTGCTGTATTGCTCCATTACTGAATCTGTGATATTTCTGCACCTTGTAGCTTCTAGTTTGAATGTCCTTCTTGTTGTTTCTTTGGCCTTTATAATCCTTAAATCTGAAGGGGTATCTATCAAACTGCAAATTGGACAGTGCGGTTGAGTTTGCTTCTTAACTGATGGATATTCTGGAGGTTATTTTCTTTCTGACCATTATAGATCAACCTGTTCATGATATTACAGCTATCTGCTATATTTGTTTACAGCTTCTTAAATGCGGTTCAATAAATGGGTCTTATCTGAGTTAGATATCTAAACTAAAAATGGAAACTACACTTGTTGATATTTTAAGATTTGGCTTCTGTTACCTATAAAAAAATACGATTTGGCTTCTGTTGACTGATCTCTGCAGTGAAATTTTGGCTTCATAAAGTCTTTTCTATTGTATTGTATTGTTTAAGGCATCTCATAACTGATACTCTGGACGTTGGATTCCATTAGATTCATTTCTTTTATTCTGTTTCGATGCTTTTGCTCTAAGATTGGTTGACCTTTTGCTTGCCTATATGAGAACATGTTATTTATTTCTTATATTTTCAAATTTATTGTTTTCATGACATGATTTAGTGAGTATCATTTTTATTTCTTTCTTAAACCATTGATGTTGAGTAAAGATGTAATGAAAAAATAGCATATTATAATATTGTGAAATGACTATAATTAAAGATTAGACCTCAATATACTCTTTTGTAGCATCTATTGGACAATTATGAACTATAAGAACAATATATTGGGGTTTAATCATGTGGTCAGTTAGAGTTTCTGAAAATTGGTTATAAATCCTTTGCTGCTCTCTGAACCAAAACTTGAACGTCTACCAAATGACCATAGGATCACCAGATTGAGCTCAGGCTTTTTTGAATTAAGTATTAAAAACCTGATCTAGATATTGACCCATTCGTATCATTACCAAATGCTCACACAGACATTTGGCTTACTTTTGATTTGAGGCTATGTTAAGGGGTGCCAACCTTTCAGCTTGCTTATGGACTACAAACATAGCTGTTGCTCTCCAAATTTGTTATTTCAAGATGAAAAAAGCATATCATGCAGAATTATCATAATGCCTGGATGTATATTACCATGGTCACAGAAGAGCGTATTTGTCGTTATGAGTTTTTCATGTCCAAAACATTTCCATGATGCATTCTCCAGGTGTTTTAAGACAGAATTCTGGCCCCTTATTTTTTGACATAAACTATGCTTTATAATAGTTAATAAAAAAGTTATAGTAGATTATGCTTTAACAAATAGTGTTGATTTGTCGGAATTTCTAGATTTTAGCATTTCTCTTGCATAATTCTGTACTTCATCCTACCTCATGATTAATATTTCTGATTGTTGAACTGTAAAATAATCATGCCTGCTTCCTCATTCTCTCCTTTGGTATGGGAATCCATCAGCGCCACTGTTTTTGGAGTTTCTACAGAATCAATGCAGCTATCATATGATCCTAGAGGCAATAGTGTTCCAACCATTCTCATACTGCTGCAAAGGCGTTTGTATGCTCAAGGAGGCCTGCAGGTGTATTATTCCTTCTCTTAATGACTATCTTATTATAAAATTTGTTGCACTGTTTATTCTAGAAGTTTAAGATACTAAAGAGAGGACAATTTCTATATTTATATTATGCCTTCGACATCTCCCCTCACATACATGCTGGCCATATTCATTTTTTCATCAAAGACCACGTGTAGAATTTTCATGAATGGGTGGCTGCCTCATTTGAACTGAGAATGCCATGTTTAAGCTTTAAGAGAGAGGGACAAACTTATTTATTTAATTTATGTCTTCAACTATACCAAATATAAAAAATAGGCATGCCAGAATTTTCATGAATGGGGGGGGGGGGGGGGGGGGG